CCAACAACCAATTTTAAACATGTAAGCTCAGGCCTTCACGAGCTGAGGCAAAGGCCCCTGGTTCGTTTAGCACATCTACTCCCACACTTCCACCGGGCCTAAGGTTGGAGAGAACTTATTATGGTCCCGGACCACAATTTTTAAGGTGGCCTCTTAGTGTAAATGGGAGGGTAAAATTGGAAAAAAGAGAAAATAACAGGGATAAAAATGAAAAGAAAAATTTGATGTTGTGAGAAGCAGCACCAAATTATTTGATGGTCTTGGACCATAAAAAATATTTCCAAAGGTTGGCCCCAACACTGAGATCTCGACGTGAGCTACCATACGAGAGGTTCATATATATATATATATATATATTCAAACTCCGCCTAGCAATCTCCTCAGCATTATCATGCATCTGGGGTTGATTAGGTTTTGATTTCTATATTCCCTCCACTCTTGATTCATATTCTGAACAAAAGTGGCCAACCCTCCAATAGTAGCGATAAGCTCAAACTTCAAGTTAATTATAAACTTCCTAAAGCAATCATTGAAAATGATAATTTAAAAGTTGAACTCAGAAGTACCTCGTAGTCTCTCTCTCTAGACTATCTCTCTAAAACTTTGCAAATGAAAGGATGCCTTCAACATACTGAAGCAACCCTTTGAATGATTGAAAAATCACTATTGCTATAGTACAATTTACATGACCGGTACTATTTCAACAGTGTAGGTTATGTGAACAGAAACTGACTCGTGTTGCTACAGTTAATGCCGACACTTTGATTACGTCACTATATGTGTCACCTTCTGCTGACATCATACTCATGTCATTTTGCCATCAGCGTCACTACAATGGTTTTCTTCAACAGTCTTCTGCTAAGTTGATTCCAAAACAATCATCCTCATTTTGGTAGAAGTCTTCTGCTGAAGAAGCGATAGATGGAGATGAAGAACCTATCTTCTGTTTAGAGCTTTCAGCTTCATCTTCTTGGAGTAATTGAAGAATACCTTGCAGATTCTTTGCAAAATTTTCTTTGCTGGTTGATGTTGCTAATGCTGCCGTGATTTGAGCCTTTTGATTCAAGAAAAGGGAGGTTTCTGGATCAGCTGGCTTGATGTTTTTTGGATGTTTTTTAAACCAGAGCTTGACATTTTCTGGGTAAGCTCTTGAAACATCAAATTCTATCCACCATTTAACAAAAGCTTGTCTCTTGAGTAATGGTAGTCTGATGCCTGTTTTCTAGCCGTAATTGTACTGCAATGAAAATATCCATGCCAGAGAGAACTTTGAGAAAAAATACAAATCTATTGGAAAGGGATCCGCTAGATTGTCGAAGTTTTTGGAAAAGATTGTCATTCCTTCAAAGACTTGTGGAGGAAGGATATCAAGGATTGGTCCAAAATAATCCCACCATTTATTAAAGCATTGTGGGAAATTATATTGTATATTTTGCTTAAAGTAAATTAACCATGAATGTTTGTTTTCTTTATTTTGCATGAAGAAGACATTGGTCCAGGCTAATTCGTAGTCCCAATAATTATATCCAATTGGATCATAAGGTTGGGAAAATTTGGTTATTTTATTTGGATTTCTATATTCTGCTGGGGTGATTACCTTGAGAATCTGGATGGTTGAATAAGTAATAAACTCAGGGTCTTTTGGACTCTTATAGTGTTTGATGGAAATAGAGTTTGAATCAAGTAGAATAAACTCATAAAAATTTTGGGATTTAGTTGGAGAATGTGGTTTGAAATGAAATTGATGTCCTTTGAAGTCTTTGGGGAAAATCTTCACAGGAACCTTGGTTGGTTTATTATCCAGTAGGATGGTTCTATTCATATTACGTCTAGAAACTTGTTATTTGAGACGTACGGTGTTTAAGGTTTTGGTTTCTGGGTAGAAATAGGTTTGGGTTGGATATCTAGGGCCCTGTTTGGACGGTTAGAGATCTGCTTGTTTTTTAGGTTATCAATCAAAACAGAAAGATCAAAGTTTTGCTTGAACAAATCCAGAATACAATCTGTTCTGATCTTCCGAATGCTTTTTGGCAAAGGAAAAAACATATCGTAGATCTTCCCTATGAAAAGGATTTTAATGAAAGGCAAATCCCAACCAAAGCTCGTCCAATTCAAATGAGTGGTGAACTTCTTGCCTTTTGTCAAAAAGAGATTGCTGATCTCCTTGCTCAATCTCAGTCTCAGGATGAATTTCTTAAGAAAATAGATAAGAAGTTAAGTACATTAACCATTCCTGATACTCCGCAACATTCTGATCAAGAGACTCAACAGTCTCATAAACATAACACTCAGTCAACAAAAACTGTCAATACTCTAAGTCATTATGATGAATCTTCTGAGTCAGATAACAAATCTGAAATTAAAATTAATCCTATAACTGGTATTAATAATTGGAGAAACCTTTCCAAACTTTATTACCAAAAAGCTACTGCTCCTGATCTTCTACTTGAAGAAAAGAATACAAGCTTCAAAAGTTTTAATGGTAACAACGTCTATGAGTGGAACATAGATGGCCTATCAGAGTATAACATACTCAATACTCTACACCATATGATTATGGTTGCAACTTCTTATCAGACTTCTCATAACTGTTCTGAAGGAATCATTGTCAATATTATTGTCTCTGGCTTTTCTGGTCAACTCAAAGGTTGGTGGAATAATTATCTCTCTGAAGATGAAAAGAATTCAGTTTTTAATGCTGTTAAAATTGATCTTGATGGCATTCCAATAATCTCTGATGATAAAACTATTTCATATGCTGTTAATCAATTAATTTTCACCATTATTCAACACTTTATTGGTGATCCATCTTTATGGAAAGATCGTTCTGCTGAACTCCTATCCAATCTTAAATGTAGAACCTTAGCTGACTTTCGTTGGTGTTAAGATACCTTCCTTACTAGGGGTAGTCTGATGCCTGTTTTATCGCCGTAATTTTACTGCCATGAAAATATCCATGCCAGAGAGAACATTGAGAAAAAATGCAGATCTATTGGAAAGGGATCTGCTAGATTGTCGAATTTTTTGAAAAAGATTGTCATTCCTTCAAAGACTTGTGGAGGAAGGATATCAAAGATTGGTCCAAAATAATCCCACCATTTATTAAACCATTGTGGGAAATTATATTGGATATTTTGCTTAAAGTAAATTAACCATGAATGTTTGTTTTCTTTATTTTGCATGAAGAAGACATTGGTCCAGGCTAATTCATAGTCCTAATAATTATATCCAATTGGATCATAAGGTTGGGAAAATTTAGTTATTTTATTTGGATTTCTATATTCTGCTGGAGTGATTACCTATATATATATATATATATATATATATATATATATATATATAAGGCAAGTTATATTTACAAATTTTTTTGTTTACACACTCTTACAAACTACACTATCTTCTCTCAGGAGAACACTAATCACACTATCTTTTCCCCGGAGAACATAGTTCAATGCATAAATTTGTAAAAAAAATTTGTAAACAAATCATTCTCATATATATATATATATATATTATATATATGTATATATGGGAAAAATGTTTGTTATTTTAAATGACAGAAAATTATGTCATTTTAAGAGAGATACAGACACAGAAAATTTGAATTTTAAATTAATAAAAATCACCTACTTTCTCTCTCCTATGATTTTTGTTTTTCTGTGTCTATCTCTCTCCTAAAATGACATAACTTATGTCATTTAAAATGACAAACACCAAACTATATATATATATATATATATTAATTTTCTTAACTTATGCATTATCAAAAGTTTGTTTGTGCAAATCTTTTGTACATAAACTGCAAAAAAGGCCCAAAAACAAACCAAAGAAAATTAGAACAATACGTAGCAGCAATGCTCTATTATCTTCACGAAGGAGCTATCGTATACATAAAGTTGTGGGTGGAGAGTCTGGAACAAGTGAAGACCATTTACATCACATGGGAAGCTCAGCCTTTTACATCACAATGATTACATGCATTTTTTTTATCTTAAAATTATTTTTAAAGAGGCACAAAACTATTATTTTAACCAATGAGAGAATCGATCCAGTGTTTATATAACTGTATTTATTAAAGTATCACCTTTTTATTATTGGAAATGTTGCCAAAAAAATAATCTCATTTAAAAAATAAATAATTATGTATTATGGGTAGACGTGTAATATATACTTATAATATTAAAGTTGATTTATTTTCTTCTTCTCAGACATTGTTGGCTGACGTGATATAAAAATATACTACCCATAATATATAGTTATTTTTTTTGTTGCATGATATAATTTTTTCCAACAACATGAAAACCTTTAATTATTTTATGTCTACTTCACATATTCATTTTCAACGCTATTATATCATAATCTTGAGAGGAGAGAAAAGAGATGAAGATTAATTGAAATTCTTATCAAATAATATTGAGAAGAAATATATAGAATGGGCTTTGGTTTCGTATAGGATTAAATTTTTGTTTCCTACAAAAGAAATGACAAGTTAAATAATAGCGTTTTATTTTTCTCATGTTATTGGAGGTTAGTATCTCCTATCATAGACACATGATGTGGTGGGATCCACCACTCATTAAAAAATGAGAAAATAATTTCCCTAAATAATAATAATAAAAGTTGAAGAGGCTAGGCACTGTGTTCATTGACTTTATTTTGTCTGTAACGATTACATCAATCTTTTGCCTACAAGATGATTCTTATTTATTCCATATAGAATATGCATAAACTAATGAAAAGAATGTTTAGACACAAACTAATGAAATCTTTTCCAATGAAACAATAGGTAAACAAAATCTTCTATAGATAAATTTCTATATTGATACAAAACAAAATGAGCCTAAATTAATTTCACAAGGGCGATCACCCAAACATAGCTAATTTAATCTATATACACTCATGCAAGATTGTCAAAATAAAACAAAACCCAACACCCCAAAAAGGAAAAAAGAAAAAAAAAAAAAGAGTTATGCATTTCAGTGTTGTACAGATATGTTAAATCAACGGAATCCTCTTGTACCTCTTGATTGATAGAGTTCCAACCTACTTTTGGCTTCGGGTAACAGTGGTTCAATGGAGGGATCTTCGATCAGATGTGCCTGCTTTGTGCACCATTCAAGAACTATGAGGACCTCTTCTTGGGCAAGAGTCTCGCTTTTGGGGACGTGCATTGCTATGTAACACAGAAGAGTTAACGAAGGAATTTGGACCATTTGTTCCCCGAAGTAAACTAGTTGAATTAAGTGCTTTGCACCACCTGCCTCTATGATGGCGTTGCAGTGATTCTCATGGAGATAATTGTCTGAACAAGCGAATTTGTTGAGGGCAATGGCGGCTTCCATAGAAATCTGTGCTTCTCTTTCATCAAGCAGCCTCACCAATGGGGCAACGATTCTTGTTTCAGTTGCTCTGAAAGTCCTAGCGAGGTTACCAACAGCTCTGACGCAAGGTACGAGGAGTTCAGAGTCAGCTTTCTCAATAACTTTAAGAATCTGGTCTACAACAGCCTTGGCAGCAGGTGCAGTGGGCTTGAAAGCAGTGTGTCTCAACTCTGCATGTTGTTCTGCCACAGCTGTGATTTCCATCAAGGCCATTGCTGAATAGGATTGAACATCATCAGGGCCTTTTTCCAATAGAACCGCGAAGCACAGAAGAGCCCTTGATTCAGTTATGCTATGACAGATAGTCAAGTTTCCCCTCGAGAGCTGCCACAGTGCTCTAGCTGCCATGGCCTTCATCTGTGCCTTTGTAACTGGATCTTCAAATTCCCTCCCCTTAATACTTGTCCCAGCAATTGACACATGCGGATTCCCATTCACATGGTGCTGCTTCTTTGCATTGTTGTTGTTGTTGGGGTTTCCCTTATTATTAGCATTCATGGCTAATGTGTTAGTCACCAAATTGTGCATCTGGTTAGAGGATTGATTCACCATCGGGTGAGAAATCTGCTTATTATTATTATTATTATTATCATCTTCTTCTTGTACAATTTTCTTATCATCATCGGGATTGGTTGTATTACTGGCCATCAAAACCGAATGGATAGACATCTTTTGTTTAGTGGCAATGGAGTACTTACTGTGCTCTTGAATGGTTTCAAATGCAAGATGGCTGACGAGCAAGCGTATGGCATTGTTCTGGGAGAAGTGATCCTGACATTTGGGATGATGTGCGGCCAACTCTGAAATAGCCCATGCCACCACCGTCTGAACCTTCATGTGACCGTCTTTGAGGATTTTCGCAAACACAGAGCAAACCCCTGCATTCACAATGTGTTCCACGCTTTCGGGATCTTTCCCAAGCAACCCAATAGCCCTTGCAGCATTTTCCTGACCATCCATTCGACCTTCTTTCAACAATTTCAGAAGTGGGGGAACTCCACCTTCCTCGATAATCAATTTTCCATAGCGGTCGTTGTCACGAGCAAGAGAAACCAATGAAGCAGCAGCGTCCGAACGTTCCTCTATGGAACAGCCTGAAAGCAAAATGGCAACCTGTTCCCAAATAAGGCAGAGAATAGGTTCGTTGGCAGCAATTGGTGGAAGACCCAAATACTCATCGTCTCGTTCATCAGCGGAAGCGGAGACTCGAAGGAGCCATTGGACATCTCCAATGGAATTCTCAAGCTGCACGGAGGTCTTGCGAAACGCAGTGGCGGGGATGATTGTGAAGAGTCGTTTGATGACGCTATTTGTGCGACATTTGGTGACGAGTGCAAGTGCTTTGTCGAGGACTTGTTCGGTGTCATCTATGATGCGCCTCGTGGGACGTTCGTACAAGTCATTGCTGTTCCTTGCGGCTTGACGGAGGAGACCTGCTAGCTTCTCTGTTTTGGCCTTCAACTCAAGACATTCCTGCCTGAAATTCTGAACGTCTTCCGACATCTTCGATACCTGGTCAGCCATCTGTATCGGGCCGGCCAGGATCTCCTTCACGATGCTCGACATGTTTGTCCCTCCCTTATGCCACTCTCCCACCACGCCTTATTAATTATATATGTTTCCACTCGTACGTGTCTTCTTTTTCTTTTCAGTCTCGCAACGTTGTTTGTCTTCGAAACTCGTACCTTAAACCTATTATTAACTTATGGATGTAATGGTGGGTCATGGGGTTTCTGCCTTTGAGAGGAGGAGGCACTGGCGGTGATGGTGGCGCCGCCGGTGGTCAGTGAAGGAAACAATGGGAATGGTCCAACGGGTTTTTCTCCAAATTTTGTGTAAAGACTAACCATAATTGTTTGGGTTACTTATAGTGGTGGGCAATTGGTTGGTCTAAACTCAGCGCGGATGTTACAACTTCTCCGCAACCAACAACCCATGGATTTAGCGACTGATCACCACGCTCTCATCCTACGGCTTGAGATACTTCTTGCTCTCGTAGAACGTGCTTGATTCTCGGTGCGATGAGGAAACAGATGACACGCTCCATGGATAGGCGAGTGATGCTAACTTTTAGCCTATGAGCTTCCGGCTTGTTACACGCTGAGAGAGAGAGAGAGAGAGAGGGCGCATCGCGATCAATTAAATAATCCAAGCATTTATATCAATCATGAGCAATAAACGAAATTAAATCATTGGCACCGGTTAAATCATTGACGGTTATGAATTTGAAAAGATATATAATTATTTATTCTATGGTGTGTTGAATGAATGTTTCATGATTGAATCAAAAATTAAAAACTGAGTTATTGTTTGAGAATGGTGCTAACTAAATATACGAAATTTATCTGATACTTTCCTTAATTTGATTAGCTCAAACAAAAAATCAAATCAACATTTGTGTTTTTAAAAGAATATATATTTTCAAAAATTTATTTAATATTTTTTTATAAAAATTATAAAAACCATTTTGTATTTTTAATAAGTTAAAAATAATAGTTTTTGAAAATTGTTTTAAAGAAAATTATGTCATAAAATTATTTTTTTATTGTTTATCTTAAATAACATGATAACAAATTATGTAGTGAAAGTAAGGACCTACCGAAATTGGAACCCAATACCATGATAATGCAGTAAAGGATTTATTTTTTTATTTTTTTTGGGGAAAACAATGAAGTAAAGAATTTAAATCAAAGATTTATAAAAAAAAATAGTCATTATTTTTACGGAAATAACGTTAAATATTCGTTAACTCTTTTGTGAATTAATCATTCTTACTACTTTATTTCATATAACAATTATATTTGAATTTTTTAAACATTTAAGCTATTTTATCATGACTGTGTAACTTTATTCGTGAGTTTATTGCATAATTAATTTTTTTTATAATTTATTGTTGAAAAGATTATTTCAAGACCTTTACAACTTATATGGTCTGAATTAGACTAAAGTGAAGCTTATAAAGCCATCAGAATCTATCAATTAGGGACATATTTATCATGCTGCCATACTAAAGTCAACTTAATAAGATAACTGTAAGATTGAGGCTCAAAGCTCATATATGATCATTTTTTTTCCAATTTACCTATGCTCATAACTCAAATATTGATTTGAGTATCGGAGGCTGGCAAATACTCATCTCACTTGTTTTAGATGAAACACATTCAACGGCATTAAAACTATCATTCCGTAGATATCCTTGTGTAGCAAAGGAGCTGATCCATTCACAGCAACTTATCAAACTGTCAATATTGAACTAAATACAACTGTGTGTTGTTAAACCCAATTCCCTATATAGACCAATTAAGAACCAAATCAATTCAATTAAGATAGGGTTAGTTTAGTTAGAATTCTCTAATTAAACAAAAAAAATTGTTAGATTTTTTTAAGTTTTTATTTTTATTCATTATCTTCTTTTTAATACAAAATTTTAAAATTTTCATGTTCCGAAACAATAATTAAATCAAATCAAAATGTTATATTATATTTCCAAAACATTTAACTCTTTATATTCTCTAATCTCTTTATTCAAAAAAGATATGACAAAATTAGATGGTAAATATGACCAAAGACACTTGCTAATAATTTGAACATTAAATGAGGGTGTTCTGGTGAATGAATGGGAAAGATGTAATTTGTAAAGTTAAAAAACGTACAACTTTAAAAGCTTGAAAATAATAATAAAAAGTTTAATGTGATATAATTGTTCGAAGCTCGGATTGAAATACCATGAATCTAATAATTGATTTGCGTTTAATTAATACACCATTTACTGTCTGAATCAATTTAAATAGTTAAATTTCAATTATAAGACTTATTAAGATGACGCGATGAACGCCCGTACTTACAGTGAAAACGGTTTACATATTCTCAACATGCACGTGAGCCATTAATCTTTTTAAAAAAAATAAGAAAGAGAAATTTGAGAAAAAGGAACAAACGATATTGATAATAGCTTGTATATAGGGTTGGCAATAGGGCCGGCAAAATGAGCTGAGCCCGTCGGGCTGGCCCGCCCCGCCTGCCAAATGGGGCGGGCTGGGTTGAGTTTTTCAACCCACCAGCCCGCCAAACCCGCCAGCCCATATGGGTCAGCCCGCCAAGTCTTTTTTTTTTTTTTTAGGTTACCCAATTGTTATGTAGCTCCGTATCTTAGATTTCTCTGCATGCAAGTGGCTTTTTTGAATTGTTGTGGACTGCTCATACAACACTTTGTTACTTGTTTTGTTACTCTATTTTATCATGATATGATTTTATTTTTTTATTATTATTTTTGGATTGAAAGATGTATATTTATATGCAGATTATTAAACACTGATATTCTTGGTTTCATAAGCACATTAGGATTTTATGCAGATTTTTGTATGCTTTTATGCAGATTTTTTTATGTGATTTTATGCAGAATTTAATTTTTTGTATTTTATTTTTATATTTTTTATTATTAGGCGGGCTGGCCCGTAGCCCGCCAGCCCACTCATAAAACGGGCCGGGTTACTCAATTCAACACATTTTGTCAAAACGGGCCGGGGCGGGCCAACCCATTTTAGGCGGGCTAGTGGTGGGCTGGGGCGGGCTGGCCCATATTTCCAGCCCTAGTTGGCAATGGCCCGACCCGATCTAACTCGCATTCAACCCAAAAAAAAAACGAGTTAGAAAACCCAACCCGACCCGAGTCGGGTTAGGGTTGACTAAAAAATATGGCTCGTGAATTGGCTTGAAAAAATAGCTCGCGAGTTGGCTCGAAAATTGACTCGCGAGTTGGCTCATTTTCAGTCTATTTAAATGACCATGTAGTATTAATGTACCAGCTATGTGACTTCCATTAGCTTAAAAAGGGTTACAAAATGAGAAATAAAAGTAAAATATTTTAGTTTCGAATTTTCTTCACAACAAATTTGCATCAACATCCAGAAACAATCAGAACCACTTGCTACAAAGTGGGTAAGATATTTGAACCAAACAGAGCCAACACAACCTAACAATATAAAAATGGTAGGGATATGAGAAGATTAGGGACTTAGGTTTAGATAAGGAAGAAAAATGATGACAACATGTGTGGGTTTTGTCCATTTTTTATATTATATTTTGTATTTTTGATTTAAAAAAAAAAACTCAACCTGCGAGAATGAAAAATAAAAGCAAAATATTTTAGTTTCGAATTTTCTTCACAACAAATTTGCATCAACATCTAGAAACAATCAGAACCACTTGCTACAAAGTGGGTAAGATATTTGAACCAAACAGAGCCGACGCAACCTAACAATATAAAAATAGTAGGGATATGAGAAGATTAGGGACTTAGGTTTAGATAAGGAAGAAAAATGATGACAACATATGTGGGTTTTGTCCATTTTTTTATATTATATTTTGTATTTTTTTATGTAAAAAAAAAAAACTCAACCCGCGAGCTGGCTCGTTTGACCCGTGGGTTGGCTCGTTTTTTCACGGGTTGAAACGAGCCGGGTTGGCAGCTCATTTTTTTCATCCCAATCCGATTTATTTTTGGAGGGTTACGAGCCAACCCTACTGGTATAACATCTATATAATCTGTAAAATATAACATCATTGATTATTATTATTATGGGAAAAATGTCTATAATTTAAAAGGACCATCTTTTTAGATTAATGTAGTGTTTTTTTTTAATTTTAAATTATAAACTTTTCCCTCCACCCTCTATTCTTCATAGTTTGTTCTTTTATCTCTCTTAAAATGATATAAGTGTGTGTCTTTTTAAATGACACACATTTTTCCCTATTATTATTATTATTATTATTATTATTTAATGATCTCTTAAGGTTTCCAGTTTATTTTTCCCTATTATTATTATTATTTTTTAATGATCTCTTAAGGTTTCCAGTTTCAACTAATTATTCCACAAAAAGTAAATCTGCATTTTATGGGATCCGACTTATCTCAAAACTTCAAAATCTTCTTTATTTTAGGACGGGAGGTGAACCATTTCAATCCAGATAGGCGGAGAAAGAAGAAAATAAAAATAAAAAATACGAGAGTATTTGGTAGGAGAATTATTTCTACATGTGTGAAAAAGTAAGTGTGAGTTTTCTAGAATATCATGTTTGGTAGGACATTGGAGAAAATTTTTCTCGGAAAGTTATTTTCTCGGATTCTGTTTTAACCAGTGTTATTAAAACTGAACCGATCCAGTCGGGTCGACCTGGGAACCAGTAAACCGGTCATATAATCAGTCCGGTTCAAGCAACGGACGGTCATCCATCAGAACCGGTGCGACCATGCATCAAAACCGGTGACCCGGCTCGGTCCAAAAAAAAAATTCCAATTTTTTTTCAAAAAAATATCATAATAGACATATTTAAATATATTTTTTGCTTATTTACTTACCTAAGTTATGTACCTACAACACTAATATTATCTCAATTATGCACTATGTAGAAAATTTTGATTTGATTTATAGTTAGAGATGTCATTTTCTGAACCTAAAGCACCGTATCACAATCATTATATTTTTGTTTGATCCTTTATTTTATAATAATATGTGATTTATTATTTTTTATATTAAAATATTTGATTTTTTTTTGTCATTTTTGCTTAGATATTTGAGTATGTTTATAATTTTTTAATATAAATTATAAAATTACATATAATTACCGGGTTATGCGGTTGAACCAGTGATCCAGTACCTCGACTGGGTCAATGACCAGACCAGTTTTAATAATATTGATTTTAACTTTTAAGTTTATTTGCTAATCAAAATACCATCCAGAGGAGGTATTTTAAAAATTTCAAACGATGAAAAAATATGGATTAATATTTCAGAAAAAAATAACCAAACATAGTATCAGGAAAATTAACTCAATATTTTCGAATATATTTTGGCTTCTCAAATATTTTTTTGATAACATTACCGTAAAACTCATTTTTTTATCATATTCCTGAGAATCGCGATTCTCGGATAATAAAAATTTATCCTCTGACAAAACGTTCAGAAACCATTTTAGTCCATTTTATATAACACATAAGCCCATAAAATTTAATGTAAGAAGAAGAAAATAATTGTGATAAAAAACAATAAATTTCTAAAAATATTTTTCCCTGCATTTAATAGAAATGCACATATAAATTTACAATTGAATTAAAATAGCGTAATAAAAATTGTGCTAATATTATTATTATCGCTACTCTCCATATACACTCAAGTAAAATATAATTAAATATAAATACTTATTAAATGTATAAAATAATAAAAATACATTTTAACGTTCCAAGTTCGGCTGAATTGACACTATTTTTTTTTTTTTTTGAATACTACACTATTTTAAAATTTTAAACCCAATGCCCACTCACTTATTCAAAAAGGTCTATGTTGCAGACATTTTGTTCAAGATCTGTGTTTCAGGTCCATTAATGCTTTAGATTCAATATGGGTTTTAGATTTGGGCCGGGCCTAACTGCCCATCTACTGCGCATTCACTCCGTTCGAGATCGCTATCATTAGTTAGATATATAAAACCAAACAATACACAACTATAATCTATCATTAAAAGGGAGTAAACTTTCACAAAACTCACTTATTCTGAATTAAAAATGCAAAAGTCTTTGATTAGATTAAATGTTTATTGATTGATAGTTATGTATAAAGATTCGCGAACACGAAAATCTGGAACCCAAATATATTTCCCAACTCAAAAAGAGCGGCAATACTCAAGAAAAAAAGAAGAGAAAATCATAGCAACACCTCTTCTTATATATCTTTATAAAGCTCTGACTAAGCTCAAGAAGTGGTGTTCCTCATATCTCTACCCACGTCCCACATCTTAAGGATTTTAATCTTCATTTATAGACACCCATACGAAGGAGCACTTACATAAAAAGCAAGAAAGAGTTACAGGGATTATGTGTAAAGAACCTTGAGATACATCACCCCAAAAGCTAGCTTAAAGGGTGAGAGTGTCCAAGGCCTTATAAACTCCACATTAGTTGTACATACAATTAATGTGAGACTATATATCTCAACACGCCCCCTCACACGAGAGCCCATTGAGCTTGAAGAGTGGACAATGCAACATACCCAACCTACCTGTGCTAAGAAACGCCACAAGAGAAAGTGGAGGGCGGCGAAGCTCTCATACCATAATAATTTGGTATCGAATTGACTTTCATTTGAATCAATTGAGTTGCCTTTATAGGCATTACAATAGCTGAGCAAGGATTGTAACAGTCATCAAGTCCAATATCCTTGCTAACATTATGGAAAGACAAGCTGGAGTTATACACACCCATTCATAATCTTGTAAGTGATTTTCTTGACAAACTCATGCTGAAGAAGGGGATGTCAGTTCAATATTCTAGCTGATTCTATATTGGAGAATGAGTTGGCACTTAATAAAGCTCCATATTCTGAGCCAGTGACACGATGGATCAAGTTACCACGTAATCTTTGATAGATTACGCTTTCATTTTTCAGTATGCTTATCTTTGTTAGCTTGAAATATGATTTTTATTATGATATTTTACATCGATATCTCACTGTTTATTTTAACTTGCAGGTTTTCATCTACATCTATTCGAATGGTACAGGGAGCCCAGCCATTAATGAGACTTCTCATTTAACACTAGAATTTCATTTTCTTTGCAAAAGATTATGTTAAGAGACAGACAACATCTCACTTTGTCTATATTTAACTAAGGTGGCACTTATAACTCACAATTGAATTTCATTTCCAACACCCTCTTCATGCACTCTAACTTTGAATCCTAGTGCATTAGTATCCACCTTTGGTACGGAGATGCATTGGTTGTGTTACTATAGCAACGCCCTAGTTAGTGTGGTTGAATTGAATACATTTCTCCAGCTGTGCGTGTCTACACTCATTCATATTTCATGGTATCCAACGTGCATGAACCATTAAGCGAATGCAATAACAAAGTTAAGGCAATGGGACATCGTGTATTTTGATATTAAAATTTATAATCAAATCAATACACGTTCACAAACCAACAAATAAAAAACACAATAGCAGACTCTTGGACATTATCAACTATATAATAAACAGATAAACAAATGTAGAAAACAGAATCAATGAACAAGAATAAACATAAAACAGAACAAGATTTACATAGGTTTAAAAAACATACATAATTTTCAGACTTTCCCTTCAATCCTTGCATGAGTGAGTCCAACGCATGCATCAACAAAATCCTTGTCTATAAAATCTGTAGAAAACACCTGAATTCTATCTGCATAGCCCTTTGCGAAGCACTGAGTGATGAAGAGCCTAGCATAGCCACGAATGCGTCCCGTGACGGGTTTGACACACAGAACTGGGTTATCTGCCACAGGGGTAACCGTGTTCTCCACCCTGTAGAAGTATTTTCTTGACGTAACCGGTGGCTGCTCGCTCAAATGCTTCAAATTGCCATCGAACTTGGTTGATGGCAAATCTGTGTTGATCCAATTATCCTTCAGAAACCCTGCACTCCACAGGGGACTCCCTGCCTTAGGCTGTGGCGATTTTCTTGGCTTCCAAACACATATAATTCTCTTTGGTAACAACTCTGCAATGGTCTTTCCAAAAACGTGATCATCTTGGTGAATCAAGAACTCACCCAATTGATCCTCCAAGTACTTATCAAATTCAGGTGGATCCTCGTGACCAAACTCTGTTCGGATCTCAAGGATTATGATCTCAGATTGTGTTTCTTTCAAGAACTTCTTGACATCATTGATGACAACATCGATGCTGTAAGTGACGAGAATTCCATGGCACACACGGCGATCTTCCTGTACACGAATGTCAAGAACACGTGCGCCCCTCACAAGTTGGTGATAGATGGACAAGGATTGGCATTGAGCGAAAGGGCGAGTGACAAGTGGGATGCCAATCTTGTTGGTTGCAGAATCATGGGTTCCAGGCCAAACAATCTGATTGATGTGAACTTTCTCTGGGTTGAGATCAGACATCCAGTTTTTCCTGTCTGAGGGATGGTATTCAGAGCCAGGGTAGTCTTCCCCTGAGCTTTTAAGATCAAATAGAGTTTTCTTCTGGGTGTGGATTGCTTTTCTTCTTTCAACCTGTTTAGAGACCTGAGAACCCATCTTCAGTGTCAACTGTCAAAGAGAAGAAATTAGTTAGATGACCAAGAAGACAAGTTCCTAGTTCCTCCCCTTCTGCCCCTTTTGTTGTTGCAGCTGGTCTTGGCTGTTGAAAAATTAAAGGGTTTTAATGTTTCTACAATGTTTAACTATTTTATTTTTTGTCTTTTTACTTATGTTATCAATCATCACCTGATTAATTATATAAGTTTAAGAATACTTATAAAAATTACTTTGTACTATACAGCACTACTAATTATTTCCATTTTAAAAAAACCGGATAAAAAACCATGGGAATGTAAAAATAGATGATCTTTTTTTGTCTTAACCAATGGGTAATAGGGTTGCTGAACTGGACAAATGTGAAATTATGATATGATGACTGGTGTTTTTCTCCACTCAATTTTGCTTCGTTTATCTCGAAGGATTTTGATTTGGTATGGGAAGGGCCCCTCTCTTAATTGTCTTTTATGATTGGGGGTGCTACCACTCTCATTAGTCATTATTGGTGGGGAGTCATAATTGATGTTTATCTTTGGTTGGCCACTTGTTTGGCTGTCCAAACTTGTCCTAATCTTTGTTTTGGTTTATTCTCACTTAGCTTTCTTGTACTAGTTATGTTGAATTGTTAAAATACCTTTGCTCGCATATATAAACCCAATGAAGAAATTTCTTCAGAAAAATAGATATAGTTAGGCTAATCTCGACCTCTTTACTCAGCCTGAAATCGAGTGAATGAGAAGGAAGATAAATCAATTAACTAAACTAATTAGGTATAGCACTTAAGGGGGATCTCGGTGGGTCTTGACTCTTAATATTTACTTTTTTCAGGTTGTTTTCTACCACCCGATTCAGGAACGAAGTGTGTAGGATTTTAATTTGTTGGAGATTACTTGAAATCCATTACGCTTTCAACCTTTAAAGGCAGTTTGTTTTGTCAAAAAAGAAAATGCCTTTGCTTAGTAGACATGGATCTTATTTTTCTGCATATATAATTGCAAAATACTTATCACCATCCCAGCTGCCAAGGCTATATTATATATATATCATTCGACCAATGTTTGCATTTTATAAGCCAGATATAACAGAAAGCCAGGATAAAATGTATATACATATAAAAAGCATTAACCCTCTTTTAGATCACATATAAAAATAGTGACATTAGTAATGACCCATGTGACGAACAACATACCAAGTTTGTGTACGTAAAGAATGAGTGAATAGCGACCCATTACATTGCCTTGTTCATGCTTCTGTGTGTTTGTGGTGAAAATTCCAGAATTTTACCTGTAAAAAACATTAGCAATTTAATTACCTAGATCCAAACAGGAACGAAACCAAAAGCAGTAATGGAAATGAGAGTATCAAAATTAAGAAGATTGCAAAACGTAAGGACGCCAAAGTGGTTTTGTTCTTTCTTAAAACAAAAAATCCGAACCGATAGCTGAAAGAATGGTCTCTCTCTCTCTCTCTCTCTCTCCTTATACCCAAGCCCAACCAAATGGTCACAGTATCCAAATTGTTCTCGCCACTATTTGGGCTTTCTTGAAACAAAGACTTGTTATGACGCCGATACAATAATGTGAAGTGAAGTCCTTCTTTCAATTACTTCTAAACTAAATAATGATATGAATATTTTGTAATTAGGAATGTAACACAAAGCAAATAGATTAGACTAGGCCTAAGTTTTTTTTACATAAATACGATCTATTTAAGTCAAAGTCTAACCTAATCTATTTAGGTACCTACTTGTAAGCAGAGCCCTTTTCATGCAAAACTATTATATCTCTTGATAGTAACAAATTGATGACTCCATTAAATTCTTTTTTATTGAATTTCTCATTTCAACTTGGCCACGCGAGGTCATGGTTGCGGTTAGTAGTTAATGTATGGGAGTTTCACTTCAGCTGCTTCTCCTGTTAAGTGTTGGAGAATTCTGGGCTAACGTTGGTCCATATTCTTTGGTCTTGTTACAATTTACAAGGGGTTACTAGTGCTGCTGTTGTTTTTACTCTTGGGCTTTTTGGCCTCGTTAAGCAAAGGGAATTTTTTTTTATAAATAAAGAGAATGGTGAGAATGGTTACAATTTTGTGTTTGTAAAACATGATGTATTATGTATAAAGGCATTAATGGAAGGGATTGATAATTCTCATATGATAATAAAAATTCTACACATATATAAAAATATATGGGTCATGAGAAATCATATGACGAAAAAGAGAAAAAGAAGAAGAAGTCGTATACACTTTTATGAATGTAAAATAGATAAATTTATGTCTAATAATAAACACATTATATATATAAAGGCATTAATTGAATGTCCGTTAGCAAGATCAACATCGTCCACCGAATTTGTAATATCATAGCTCAGCATCCCAGGGACGGTTGAGATCTACCTTGCAACGTGAAACGCACAGTCTTTGGCGTGCTTGTATTACTACAATAAAAAAAACAAAAAAAAACAGGTAACCTTTTCTTAAGCTTTTGGTCCATTTCAGTCAGCATAATTAGCGCATTTTCGCCGATGATGCCTATGCAAAATTCTCTACCGTCTGATCCAAACCCCTCACGCATCTCTACCCGTTGATCTATCTCTTATCCTGAATTCAATTGCTCGAACTGAAGCAAAGTTCATCTCTCCCATTACAGTTTCACCCAACCGAGACGCACTGAGTCTGAGACACCGTTTCCTCTCTCTACTGGGCATAAACAGGTTCGCATTCTTGCTGTTATTCTCTGTGAAATTAATTCAATGCTCCTTTTTCGTTTTTCTTGATTATGCTAAACCCTAATAGAAACCACACACGCGAGCACCCTAGGGATCTGGTTCTCATGTACCCTTCTGTTTGTTAATTACTATGCCGCATAAAAATCGTTATTTTATTTTTCAAATTAAATCTTATTGGGTCCTCAATTCGTAACGTATACTTTTTGTTGGGTTACGATTTTAATTGATTATTGAGACTTGTGTTGTGTCTAATCATCTGAAGGTTTCCGTGCTTCCTTCCCCAACCCCACTTATCGTTTTAATGGGTTTCTCATATTCTGATTATTTTTGGCAAATTTAGGGTTTCGAAGCGACGTTGAAGGTTTGTGATGGACAATGAGGTTGAGGTTTTCGATGGTTATGGTGAGGGACAGAGGAAGAGAGTGGACGTCGGGGTGCCCGAGGAGAGCATGGTCCGGTCTGATAAGCTGAAGGATTTGGAAGGTGAGGAGGTTTTTGAGGAGGCAATAGACCCACAAGAGCATTTCCGTTATCAGGAGGATGATGTTATTGGTAAGGGCAACGATGCTGCCACAGTTAGTGCTTTGCCTTCGACTTTGGTTCATGAAACCCCTGATACTGCAGAGGAGCCGGATAACTTTGAGGAGGCAATTGGGGTTGCTGATGAGTCGTCCGGCAAGCACCCGGAGGAGGAGGTTGAAGTAATTGCTAACCAGGAGGTGGATAAGGATGAGCATGGGCAGCTCGGTAGCATTCATCTAGATGGAGTTGATTCTGGAGGGACCGGGGATGGAGTAGCATGTGATGAATCCTACAGTATGAGGGATGATGGGTTGGAAAGTAGTGATTGTAATGGTGTAAAGGAAGTATCTGATTTAAACACTGATGGAAACTTGGTATTTCTGGAGAACAGAGACGGGGTGGATGTAAACTCCAGTTTATCAAGTGAGAAGGCTGAAAATGAGGATCCTGAATACGTAACCCCTAGACAAAATGGTGATAAAATCCTCGAAAATGGAAGCACAGACAAGGTGGATTATGTTGTTGCTGAGTCTCGTTCGGAATCTGAATTCAATGGGGAGATGCCAAACCAGGGTGCTGATTCTAGGGAGTTGAAGGAGGGTGCTTTCGAACCTGAATTCAGAGGTCACAAAACGTTGGAACAGTTGAATGCTTCAGGTGATCCTCATAGTGAAAATCAAGATGATACAGGTGAAGAAATACACGAACATTCAGCTCATAGGGATTTAGAACTTGAAGGTGAAATAATTATGGATGTGAAAAATGAGATCCTTGGCACTGATATAATCAGCGAGGATAGAAATGGTGAAGAAAGAATATCTGATAGTCAGAGTTCTAAATGCAAAGATAATAGAAATGATGAAACTAAGGATGCTAAAGCCAGATCAGATTCAGAACATCTGGAAGCAATTGGTGAAATAGGAGGTGCTTCTCCTGACCCACATGAAACTGAGGAGGAAAGGGAATTGAGACAAACTGCTGGAAGCTCATCCTGTTTGGAAAATTCTACTGCTGATGAGATACCAACTGTTCAGGGTAGTGGAGCTGATTTAAAAGAAGGAAGTACTAAGGATTATCAGTCTCAGATTTCCAATGAAAATAATCATGGACATCATGAAAACTTGTCTGTGGTTGGGGAACATGAAAAGATACTAGAGAATAATGAACAAGAGAAGGTTACCACTCAGATCGCTAAAGAACAGAACAGCGAGCGTGCTTCCTTATCTGGAAAATCCATTGCTACTGGGCCCCCTCCTGTTCGTCCTGCTGGCCTTGGACGTGCAGCCCCATTATTGGAACCAACTCCTCGGGTAGTGCAGCAGCCTCGTGTGAATGTTACTGTATCTAATGTGCAGTCCCCACAAATGGAAGACTCCTTGAATGGGGAGGCGGAGGAGTATGATGAGACTCGTGAGAAACTTCAGATGATTAGGGTGAAGTTTTTGCGGCTAGCTCATAGGCTTGGGCAGACACCCCACAATGTTGTTGTAGCACAAGTTTTGTATAGACTAGGACTGGCTGAACAACTCAGAGGGAGGAATGGGGGTCGCGTTGGTGCTTTTAGCTTTGATCGTGCAAGCGCAATGGCTGAGCAACTCGAAGCAGCAGGTCAGGAACCGCTTGATTTCTCTTGTACAATAATGGTTCTTGGAAAGACAGGTGTTGGAAAAAGTGCAACTATCAATTCTATATTTGACGAGGTTAAGTTCAATACTGATGCTTTTCATACGGGAACAAAAAAGGTTCAGGATGTTGTGGGAACAGTGCAGGGAATTAAAGTACGGGTCATTGATACACCAGGACTTCTACCTTCCTGGTCAGACCAGCGACATAATGAGAAGATCCTGCACTCTGTCAAGCAATTTATTAAAAAAACACCACCTGATATTGTGCTGTATCTTGATAGGTTAGATATGCAGAGCCGAGACTTTAGTGATATGCCACTCTTACGCACAATTACTGAGATTTTTGGACCATCCATATGGTTCAATGCTATTGTGGTTCTGACTCATGCAGCATCTGCTCCACCTGATGGCCCTAATGGTACTGCTTCCAGTTATGAGATGTTTGTTACTCAGCGCTCTCATGTCGTGCAGCAAGCCATTCGGCAAGCAGCTGGAGATATGCGTCTCATGAATCCTGTATCACTGGTGGAGAACCACTCTGCATGCAGAATAAATAGGGCTGGGCAGAGAGTGTTGCCTAATGGCCAGGTTTGGAAACCTCATCTGTTACTCCTATTTTGCATCAAAAATTCTGGCCGAAGCAAATGCTCTACTTAAGTTACAAGATAGCCCACCTGGAAAGCCTTACACAGCTCGAGCTAGAGCGCCACCATTGCCATTTCTTTTGTCATCCCTTCTGCAGTCAAGGCCGCAATTAAAGTTGCCAGAGGAGCAGTTTGGCGATGAGGACGGTCTTGATGACGACCTTGATGAATCATCAGATTCTGATGATGAAACAGAGCCTGATGACTTGCCTCCATTTAAACCATTAACAAAGGCTCAGGTGGAAAAGCTGTCTAGAGCTCAGAAGAAAGCATATTTTGATGAGATAGAGTACCGAGAAAAACTTTTTATGAAGAAACAATTGAAGGAAGACAAAAAGCAACGGAAGATGATGAAGAAAATGGCAGAATCAGCAAAAGATCTGCCAAGTGACTATAGTGAAAACGCGGAAGAAGAAAGTGGTGGTGCAGCTTCTGTTCCTGTTCCAATGCCAGATTTGGCCTTGCCTGCTTCGTTTGATTCTGATAATCCCACTCACCGGTATCGTTATCTTGATTCATCCAACCAGTGGCTTGTAAGACCTGTCCTAGAAACTCATGGGTGGGATCATGATGTGGGTTATGAAGGGTTAAATGTAGAAAGATTGTTTGTTCTTAAAGACAAGATACCCTTGTCTTTTAGTGGTCAGGTTACTAAGGATAAAAAGGATGCTAATGTTCAGATGGAAATAGCCAGTTCAGTTAAGCATGGAGAAGGGAAAGCGACTTCGTTAGGTTTTGATATGCAGACTGTTGGGAAGGATTTAGCTTATACATTACGCAGTGAAACAAAATTTTGTAATTTTAGGAGAAATAAGGCAACTGCTGGTCTCTCATTTACTGTCCTGGGTGATGCCTTGTCAGCTGGAGTTAAAGTTGAAGACAAGTTGGTTGCTAATAAACGATTCAAGTTGGTTATTGCTGGCGGTGCAATGGCAGGGCGCGGTGATGTTGCTTATGGTGGCAGTTTGGAGGCCCAATTAAGAGATAAAGATTACCCTCTAGGACAGTCGTTATCAACACTTGGGCTTTCCGTTATGGATTGGCATGGAGATCTTGCTGTTGGGTGCAATTTACAATCACAAATCCCCGTTGGGCGGCATACAAACCTTGTTGCCAGGGCCAATTTGAACAACCGAGGCGCTGGACAAATCAGCATTCGATTAAATAGTTCAGAACAGCTTCAAATTGTTATGATTGGTCTCGTCCCTCTACTTAAGAAGCTAGTTGGTTGTACTCAACAGTTGCAGTTTGGACAATGACATTGGTGTTAATGTTTGGTTACGTAAGCTGCAGTTCTTGCACGGTGGGAGGTAATTGCTTTAAGATGGCTTCCCTCGCTGGTTGCCATGAAATGAGAATGATATTAAATTGCGTTTTTATGTTTTCTATACCTAAAAATATCTATTTTTTGATTATAGTCGTTGTAGTTTCCCTTGTTAGATATTCTCGCTTGGTATTTTTGTTACTTTATGCTACTGGACTCCATGTAATGCATCTTTTTGATTTATATCTTCCTAGTTGTGTCTTGCCTTGCACACTGTCGGAAGCACTTTCTCTCTTTCGTTAATTTTTGTTGTCTCGGGGTTAGGATTTTTTTATGTACTTTTAAGGGCAGTCGAATTCGCAACTTATCTTATCGGGAAACGGTTTGGCAAATGTTACTCCTTTTTCTAATGTTGGAATTTGAATGAGTGACCTCCCAAGTCCCAACGCTCGAATTTTGGTTCGAGATTTCATTATTTTTCGCCCCTGCTGTACAGTCAATGGAAGCCCGTTTTGATACCAAAGGAATGGAAATGAGTTTTGAATGATAAAAGGGATAATCAACTGGTTTGTTTGACTCGTTTATTATTCGATTTTAGTTCATTAGGTATATTTTTGTATGGTATAGTCTTAATTTTTTTTTCCATATAGTTTAATAGTAGTATTTTTGAACTAAAATGTAATGCTTTCGTGTTTAGTTGAACAAAAAGGATTACCCCACATGATAAATCGGTAGCGTGGTGACAGCCCTCAATATGTTATATTCATTTTAGTGCATTTGTATTGTTTCGCTTCTTCTGTGAGCTAAATGCTTTGAAAATGTCTATAGGGCTATCATCATAAAATTGGATAAAAGGGCAAGAGTTTAACCTCCCTTTTAAAACACTGGATTAATTAAATAAATAATGATACTGTATACTGTCGACTTTTGGTTTCTCTGGTATTTGTTGTGCATGTGATTAAATTGTAAGTGGTGAATGTTAACTACATTACAAGGCCATGATTTGTTTCCGTCTACTTAGATTTACATGCGGAATTCTCGTAGATGTCATTGCAACTATTACAAGGCTTAGGAAGTTTGATGTGCTTTTTTGCGCGAATAATTGATCTTTTGGTGGGGTATTATCTTTTTTCCTTGGGCTCTTATGTAGAGCATGATGCAGCCTAAATAGTTGGCCGGGATATTACAAGAATTACAGGACAAAGGTGTAATGGATTGGACTTCTCTTTCGGTTTTATATGTTTGGAGTATTCAAACAAGCAGGATCTGTTCGTCTTTGTTAGTTAATAGATTATTTGAACATGGAGAATGGTAAGTTTGGTTCATTCTTGAAAGCAGGTTAAAAATAAGTGCGTATTTTTTTCTTTTGAATAAATCATTTTGTAATTGTTTAATGTTATTTTATTATAAACTAAAAAATGAATAAACAGTTTATTTTTATTCTTGTTAATAATCCTTTCACTCTAATTTTTTGCTATATGTTTTATGTTTCATCTTTTATTTTATTTTATGATATTGAGTGCTAGAGGCTAGGGTTGGCAAAACGGGCCAACCCGGCTCAACCCGTGTTCAATCCGAAAAAACCGAGCCGGGTTAGGGTTGGCTTGAAAACAAACGAGTCAGAAAACTCAACCCAGCCCGACCCGAGTCGGGTTAGGGTTGGCTCGAAAAAATAAAATAAAATTTCATGTATGCTATAATTTTTAATTTTTTTTTTCTAAATTATTAATTCATTCAATACAAAGACATTATACAGATAAGTCATAGAAAATTTTGCATTTGGACTTGGACTTATTGACAGTTGGCACCACATTCACACTGTCACACATATTATAAAAAAGATCCTTAATTCACGGTTTTGGACTTATTGGCAGTTGCAAGGTATTTTCGTTTGGGTCTTTAGAATTGAGATTTTAGGTTTTAGCTTTCCACTTTATCTTCATTAATTTTTATACTTTTAAATTAAAAAAAACATAAGTCGCGAGCTAACCGGTTTGACTCATGGGTTGGCTTAGTTTTTTTCGAGCTGAAACGAGTTGGGCTTACTCGAGTTACTAACTCATTTTTCCTAACCCAACCCGGCTCGTTTTAGTCGGGTTACGAATTTTTGCCAAGCCTACTAAAGGCCACTAACAAAGGGATTTTTTTAATATACAGCCGGTGCATAATCTTTTGGGTGCACTTTTTTCAAAAAAAAAGAAAAAATTTCTTCCATTTAAATCCTTCTTTTCTTTTCAAATTTTCCCTCCGTCATTTTTTCTTTTCATTTTATGATAAGGACTATGAAGTCTCGAATTACATAAAATGAGCTCCTAACAAAGAGCTTTTGCTTGCTTGCTTTCAAAAATAGCTAAACTCCGTCTATGTTCTCAAAACTACACGTCGAGAAAGTTCTTACCATTAGAGTCATTATACCATGAATTATGGCAAAACTATGGCCTTAGTAATATAAACAATTGCAAGAACATTAATGTTGCTCGTTTACCAATGATAATAGTAATAATGTAATGATAATTTAATGAGACGGAATACGAAAGATCACTTATTAAATGCGCTCACATATAGCATGTTCTTATTAACGTGCTTCTCTTTTTTCATGTCATATGAGATAACATCTCTTATGTTATAGATACAACAAGTGATGAGGCCTACCACTTGTTAAAAAAGAAAAAAAGAAAAGCACGAATTTCGATCTCTCACAATATAAGAAAACTATTTCCTATTGCATGAGAAAATGATTTTCCTATATGAATAGTAGTTAATTGTAATAAGCGATTTTGTGATTTATACTAACACTACATTATACTTAGCTTGTGGATAGTAGGCTTGACAAAAATGAGACAACCCATCGGGTTGACTCGTAACCCGGCTAAAATGAGCTGGGTTGGGTTAGGAAAAATGAGTTAGTAACTCGAGTCAGCCCGACTCGTTTCAGCTCCAAAAAAATCGAGCCAACCCACGGGTCAAACGGGTTGGCTCGCGGGTTATGATTTTTTTTTTAATATTAAAGTATAAAAATTAATGAAGGTAAAGTGGAAAGCTAAAACCTAAAATCCCAATTCCAAAGACCCAAACGTAAATACCCTGCAGCTAAGTCTAAAATCGTACATCAAGGACCTTTTTTATAGTATGTGTGACAGTGTGAATGTGGTGCAAACTACCAATAAGTCCAAGTCCAAATGCAAATTTTTTTATGGTTTATCTGTATAATGTCTTTGTATTGAATGAATTAATAATTTAGGAATTTTTTTAAAAAATTATAACATTAATGGAATTTTATTTTATTTTTCATTTTTTCGAGCCAACCCTAACCCGGCTCGTTTTTTTTGGGTTGAACGCGGGTTGAGCCGAGTTGGCCCGTTTTGCCAACCCTAGTGGATAGGCCCAATAAATAAAATAAGAACCTGACTTGGTGATCCAACCAAGTCAATGACTAGAGCTTGGGCTGCCAGCTGGAATATTCCTATTATTGCGATTTTAGGACAAGAAACATTTATCCTCTCGAGAATCGAGGGGGGGGGTTATAATATAAGTGATGTTGTGCCGATGAAAATCAAGAGAAGCAGCCACCACCATCATAAAAAGTATTCCTGGGGTGTTTTGTAACACCCCGTTCTAGAACCGATTTGTTAAGATTACGTATGGCATTAAGCGCAGTTACAATCACATCAATTGAATTATAATACGAATAAACTTTTTTCTTTTTTGTTAATAAATGTTTTTGTTTAAAATCAATTCCGTAATTAAAACAATTCCAATAATTGTAATCATAACTTAAACTATGTGTGGAACACTTAACGAAATTTTATTTAAACTATACGTTGCTACCATAGTGTGCCAAGTAGTCCCCTTAGACCAACAAGGCTTAAAAACTCATTTTTATTGTTATTCAACACTAATCACCTCCATTTTTTATTTACTTAAGGAATTTTATACTACTTATATGGTCTTCATCTCCCCACATGTTATAGATCACTTCGTTAGCTACGCGTGGGTTCAAACCGCGCTCAATTTGGAGCAATGTAGCTTAAGTTATGAATTTTTTAAAAAAAAGGTGTTGAATTTCACAAGGGTCTCATGCTGGTAGCGCGAAACCCGCGCTGGTAGCGCAGAAACACTGACTTTTCGCCTCTTCCCGCGCCGTAAGCGCCAATTTTGGCGCACAAGTGCCACGAATCTGGAGATTTCATCCTACATTAGTATTTTACTCATAACTTGAGTTATAAGTACCCGATTGACGTAATCTTGATCTCGTTGGAAAGCTAAGAAAAAGATCTATAACTTTCATTAAGACACAAGGGTCCAAATCTATCATATAGGATATAAAAATGGACAACAATACATAATATTCTTATATTTACATTGATTCTCAACCTCAAAAGGTTTCTTTCACATAATAGACCTTATACAACCACTTCAATACATGATTGTTGCCATTTCAAGGCTTATATGATATCCAAAGAGGCTTGAAAGTCCTTCTATCATATAAAAGAATTACATAGTAATCAGAGTTCCAGAACTTAGACTTAACAAAACACATGATTAAAACTATTTTTCTCCTTTCAACTATCAAGGATGCAAAATGACTAGGGTCATAGTCTAAGTCCCCAAAAATACATATTGTTAGTCCACTAAAATATTACTACTAAGTGTGCATCCTATACATATCTTTCTACCAAAATATAAGATGCAACCAAATATAAATACATATGAGGCACTTAAAAACAATCATACCACATGCTATCATATGGAAATCTACTCAGGCATCTTGCCTCATTCCCGACCTGCATCATCCATACTAGTACTTGAAATAGCAGTCCCCAAACGGTGTGAGATAAAACTCAATAAACTCAGGGTTCTTAGAGAATACCTCCAACCCCCATAGTTCATGTAAGAACCCGCACCGTTAATTAAGGTATTTAATTAATTAATTATGCAAAAATAAGAAATGATTCCATAATTGACCTTAATAATTATTTATGAGGCTTAATAATCATAATAAGGGATTAAGAATGCTGAAAGTCGCTTTTCAGAAGAAAAGTGCAGATACCAGTTCTGCTAGTCGGTATAACTGTGTACCGAAAAAGTATCTCGGAAAATTAATGTAAGTGCATGATAATTACTAGGATAATATGTAGGACTTGTAAAACGAGTTTCAAGTCCAAATAATGAGAACTGGTGCTAGAAACCGGTACTGACTTGGAAAAGCGCGTACCGGAAAGTTTCTCAGAAAATTATAAGAAAAATATGATAATTCTTAGAAAATTATGTAGTTTCAGAATCCTAAGTTTGGGATTAAAATGCTAAGCGTAGAAATTAAAGTTTATACTGTGTGTTTAAGTGTGTTTGGGCTATAAATAATCCCATTATGGGCACAAAACCCTAGACTCTTTCA